GTCAAAATGCCAAAACTTGCATTTGTGAACTATGTCGACTTTAAACCATTATTTATATGTCGTTGATAAGTACAGCAGCAAAGATGAACTAAGCATTCATTTCAAATTTAATTTATTAAGGATAATTTCTTCTAACCATGTGTAAATAAATAATATTCTAGTACTGTTTGAGATTCACCTACATTTTCAATGATAAGCTGGCTAAATGAATTTCAAAACTCTTAATGCTACATACTATATATAAAACAATGAATAAGTGAAATAGGAAATATTTCCAGACATCTTAGTCACATCCTGCATGAAATTGAGGCATTGATTACACATGGAAATGAGATTGATAATTTAGAATTTATTCTATGTATACACCAAAACTTTTAAACTCTGTCGTTGGTGCTCTAAACTCCAATCTGCACTCGAATCCAACTTCCCACATCAGTTAAATTTCCAGCACGCAGGTAGTTTACTTGGCAAAGTATTGTTTCAATAACAAACAATACAGATGTAGAGATACGAAGCTTATCAAACTGCATGGAGGCAAGTAATCGAGATCAAATCGAGAAATTAAGACGTATTTATTTAATGCATTTCGGTCCTCATTAGACCCTCCTCAACTGAAGTTAAAACTCGCTCACAAACAACCAATAGCATATAGACCAATAGTGGATATTAAAAATTATTTATTGTATAATTTGGAACAATTTAGAAAAAATAATTTAGAACCAGAAAAAGACTAATTTTACTGTTAATAGTATTGAAAAAACTTTTATGCAATATTACTAATGTTAATTTTACCCATATAATAGAATAACTTCCCTTTGATATTAAACATGTGTATCCATCCATCACAAAAGCAATGGCAAATAAAACATTGCGGGTACTCAATTTTCAAAAAGAATGGTTGAAGTTAATTATTTTTATTTTAAATAACTACAGTAAAGCATCTATTATCCGACCCCCGATTAACCGTCACATCAGTTAACCGACCGTTATAGTCGGCAAATTTCAAATGTCCACTAGTGGTGTGGTGCTACAATATTTGGCTATGTCTTGGCTACTTTAATATTATTTTTGTTAAATTTTTGCGTATTTTAGCTGGCAACATTGGTTCGACCATGAAAGGGAGGACAGTATTTAAACGAGACTTAATTTTCTAATTATAAGCGGTTGTTTGTTTCATGAGCAATAAAATAATTTTAAAATAATTTTTAACAATACAATAGCACCGATTATTATTTTTAAAAAAAAATTTTGTTAGGCTTAACATTGATGAAAATTCAACACAAAATAGGTTAATAGCGATATACTAATATACTAATTACATGGGAGATACTAATATACTATACTAATAATGTATTTTTTCATTCTTTTCGGTTATCCGATTTTTTCAGTTATCTGACCAACCCAAGTTCCCAATTGAGTCGGTTAATTGATGCTCTACTGTATTTCGCTCAGGATGAACAATTTTTTAAACAGAGATGGTATCTCGATTAGTCCACAATTAAGCCAAAAATTAGCTGAGATAACAACATTATCAAAACATCGAGCACCAGTTAATATCAATGGTATAATTTTCCTAAATAGATATGTGAATGATTGTTTTGTCATATTTGATGAAGAAAGTATAAAACCTGGTAAAATATTAGAATTAGTAAATAATTTACATATATATATTACTTTTGAGTTAGAAACAGTGTTTCTAGATGGAAAACTTACTAGATTGTGTAATTCCATTATAACTAATAAATGAAGCGTGCAATGCCATAACATTGTAAATGCTATTTTTTTCTCTAAATACGTTTTATTAAGAAAATTAATTTAAAACGCAATATTTTCTTCTACAAAAAAATACTGTGGCGACCTTGATGTTCTAAGTGGCTGTATTTTCAAGTTGAATTTATGTGCAAGCCATAACGTTTTAAACGCCAAAGTGCAACTCAGGTGAGTTTTGGCGCATGATACGTTATAGCTTATGTTTACATCATTTTATTATCCATAAATTTCTAGCATAGTGAGTTTTTTACCATTTTATTGTAAAATTGAAATGAATTCGTTGAAGTATGAAAAATCTAAAGAAAAGGAAATGTGCAGAAAAGTGGAAGGAGGACATTCGAAAGAAACAAAAAAAAGTGGCTTACAATACATTTCCCACATATCACCTGAGGAAGGATCCACCAACAATAATAAGTAAAAGACTTAATACTTCAAAAATATAGGCAAAAACTCCAGATTTACAGAAATGGATAGCCTGAAAAAGTCATTGTCTCTATATAACCAATAGATACGTTTCTTAAAAGTTTGTTAAATTTTTTCTTTGTTACAGTTGATGTGCAAATGTGCCTTCACTTGCAGAAACATAAGATTGGATTACCATCAGAAACTGTTCCAACAATATTATGTACTGATTGACTACAATAAGCAGCATGGCAATCTTCAAAGACTTGTTTATCCCCAGATGATAAAAAGGAGACGATATGGGAAGTATGGTCATCCTTCCGAAAGTAGAAGGCAAACACTCTAAATTATCATTTGCTTCTTCCCAGCAGAAATGAAGTAAGAGTTTGCTTTAACACTTTGTGTAATACATTTGAAATTATTGCAAAAAGGTTGCAAGTAGATTGAAAAAAATTTTGGAGGGAAAAATTGGAGGCTATCGATCAAAGAAGAGGTCAGTGCAAATTTATTGAAAAACAGCTGTTGATAGAAAACATAATTGAGCAGATTAGAAGTTTTCCAAGTGAAGAAAATCATTAAGCTCGAGCTAAAAGTGCAGATAAAATGTACTTATCATATGATCTCAATGTTAGCAGAATCTACAGTGTCTTACTTGAGAAATATTGTCAACAGTACTGTGGGAGCGAAGCCCCAGTTACTCTGCAATGGTACAATAAAATTTTCCTTACCAAGTTCAGCTCAATCTGTCATTTCGAAGACCTTGAATAAAAACTTGCTCAACTTGTGACCATCTTTGATATATGAGTAAAAGCCAGTGATACGTCAGCGAAATCAGATAAGGAATTACATCATCAAGAGCTGAAGTAACCACACAAAATATATCCAATGAAACAAAAATGAAAAAGATAAATATTGAAGTCCAAAACTGTAGGCCTAACAGTGGTGAAGCCAGGAAGCAGTCACTAGTAGATTATTGTCAGTTTTGTTTGACAGAAAGTTTACCTTAAGTTGCATTTTTAAATATTTTGGCAAATGGCATATTTTAAAAACTTCATTAAATTTAAAATTTAACTTTGAAAAAATAGCCACATCGTGTCACTTTTATAACAGATTTTAAAAAATTCTTTCCGGTGACCATATGACGTTCTAATATCCAATCGGAAATAATGACATAACGAGCCCGTTATTTAGAAACTGTTATCGCTCATCCACTAACGTACCAATTCATTTTTGTTTTATCAATGTAAAATTAATAGGATTCACTATTTTGTCCAAAAAAAATGCCTAGGGAAAGTGTAAGAATGAGGGTGCGACTATGCAGACACGAATCTAGTAGCGAGAGGTTGCCAGCGATATACTTGTCGCAAAGGAAAACCATACACCAGAAAGAAACAAGAAATCTTGTTAGCTCGTTCTAGCTCTCACAAATATCTGACAGTGTTTGATATTTATCGCGGCTCGCCTCTTCTCATATGCATTTTGTAACGGTAGTAGAAAATCATCAAATGAGATACTGGACTCAGTGTAAAAGATAATTTAATTATTATTATTTATTCTCATCCCGAAATATGGGATAAAAGTCTTCCCAATCACAATAATAGATATATTTTAACAACAAAATGAAATGAAATAGCTGAAGGTATGCAATCACATGGAAAGTATTTGTTTAGTAATGTAATATTTTTATAAAATGATAATTACCAGTTCCTATGTGAACATTTTATGTTAGATTTTGGGTGTAATAAATGAAAGCACGATTCATCATCAGACCCACATGCTCAACTCTGAAATGCTTTCCCATCTCAGCATGTAGGAACCCACATAGTGAGATGGGAAGGTAAGTGATTTCGAAACTACTGCAAGTAATTTGACATAAGAGTGAGATAATACCATGTGACCCCTTCAACATAATCAGAGTTATAACATGAAAAACACGACACTAAAGGTCCTGGCGAGGTGCAAACCGACAACAGAACTCCCAGTGTTTAAAGATCAGAACCACTTGGCCACTGGTGGGATGAGTTCCGTTTTGGATAAATTAGAAAAATGCCTCAAGCAATTTCAAAAGATATTCACAAATTAGTAGTTCAACATAGAAAATAAGGAAAAAAACAGTCAAAGACAGCAAAACTGTTTAAAATTAGTGCACAAACAGTTATTAAAATCTGTAAATAGAATATTGAAAGAGCAAAGATTTCACCGTAAAAAGTGGAAGGTCATGCACGATTCACTACTGAAAAGGAGGATTAGCATTTAAAACAGCATTGCCGAAGATAATCTGTTTATGTCTGCAAGGATACATCAGTCATAATTATCTTTACCTATTTCAATAAATACTTAACAGTTAAACAAAGGTATATACCATTTGAGTGTAAAATACCTAGACATTAAAAAGATACATTCATATAAATGTAAAGAACCTATAAATAAAACTTTATTAAGAATATTTTATTATATTATTAGACTAAGAGAATCTAATCTACCAAGGGAGAAGAGCTGCCCAGAAACAAAACTTAACAAATGCAAACATAATTGACCATTTAGGCTTTGCCTACCAACACCGTCATTGGATTGACGAACAGCAAAATGTCAAGTTTTTTTATGAAAAATTTTTTTTATATTGATGAAACTGGAGTTGTTTGGGTCCATCAGCCCTGAGCAGACAGACATAATAGTAAATACATATGCCCAATGCATAGAAGGGAAAGAATTTCAATAAGTAAGGTTCTATATGTTTGCTTTTCTTACTAATATAATAATTCTTACTTTGAATACATATTGAACCAATATTCGATGATAAATTTACATACTTGTGTCAAGAACTCTCAATGGTTTTTGAAGCGGTCGTAGGCCTATGCTTCATGTCCAGTCAGTTTTCACTTGGTGTGCAATAATCCACACTCTCAACTTTAGTTCCACTTATCAGATGGATAGTTTTTGCCAAATTATGATTAATTTAGATATAAGTTTTAGTTATCATAGAATCAGACAACATGGTTGAGGACTTATAGAAAACAATGCCCAATCAACTAAAAGATAGTAGGCCACTTGTGAAATTAATACAATAAAAATTTCTTCCATCATCTTTCGACAAATTTCATTCTAACTTCTGTAAGGGGTCGAAGTACAATTTCTCCACATTCTATGATTTTATCTCGTGGATCCATAGAGTATAAGCGGAAGTGACGTAAAATATTTGCAATGATGATTTTCTCTTCCATCATTGCAAACTTCTGACCTATAAAATGTTATTTCATTTAACCAAAATACTGGTCAAATATTGATAAAATAAGAATTCTTCTTTCTTTACTTACCAAGACAGTTTCTTGGTCCTGCAGAAAACGGGATGTATGCAAAATTATGTCTACTTTTGCAGTTTTCTGGAACAAAACGCTCTGGATTGAATATTTCAGGATCAGGAAATGTCTCTGGATCATGATGCATGGCAAAAATTTCGATTGTGATTAATGCCCCTCCGGGAATCTTCATATTTTCATCTTTAAAATTGTTGTAATTCAAATTGAAAATTTTTTAAACATAGAAACTAAACATAAAGTTAAATCTAAGTTTCAGCACGTCTTGTGAAAATTAAAATACAACCCTACTTAAACGAAAATCTGTTCTGTGGCTTCTGGCAATGATAGGAACTGAAGGATAAATTCTAAGCGATTCCTTAGAAAATATTTTTAAAAAAAACTTAATATATAACAAGTAACACACAACTTTAAAATAAAATATAACACCACCTTAAGAACACACTCAAGATATTTCAACTCTCTGATGTCTTTTGCAGTTATGTCTCTCTCTTTATCTTCACCGAAAACACGCAGAATCTCTTCGTATGCTCTATTTTGTATGTCTTGATACAAACCAAGATTGTAAAGAGCCCAATTTATAGCAGAAGCTGTAGTATCTTGACCCTATATTCAATATATATTTCATTACAAATTATATTTTGCCTATTATTTCTTAATTCATTTCTTGATTTTTGAAGTATATTATACCGCAAACATAAAAGTATCCACTTCCTCCCTAATATCTACTTCTGTTAAGCTTTTTTCTTTAAAATGGTAATATAGCAGGAGATCAAGAAATGCCATTCGCTTCTTACTTTTAAAATAAATATTTTCTTTCTCGCTTTGTATTTCTACTTCGTATGCAGTCTGTTGAAAAATCTTCTTTTTCTCTGTTATCACCTGTAGAGATAATCTCTGTCAAATTCAGAAAACTTGAAAATTTTTCAGTTGGAAGCTAATTACTTTTCTAGTGAAGTTGTGAACGATGTTCACCAATCGGTTGAATTCTCGTCCGGATGTTGTTAAGTTGAACACAAAATCAGACCATAACCATGGATACATCATTCTCCTGAAGATCAATTCTTGTATCCTATAAAAATGAAATCATAAACACTTGCAAAATATTAAAACAAAAAATACAGGCATACCTTGCAGAAAGCCACTCCAGTTAACATTTTTGTGGTAGAACATCTTTTATTTTAATGCCAAAATTATATAAAACTTAAAACTTCTCTCTCATTGCTATGTTTATCAGTCTGTTTTCACATAAAAACTTATTGACTATAACATTTTAACAAAGGGAAGCTTTAGATAAGTGTTATATTCGAACATAAACCAGACAATGGCAAAAACACAGAACATTGAAATCACGTGTTTGCTCTTCAAGTTAACTTATTTGGGTTTTCTTCCCACATCTAAAAGTTTCGTTTTGAAAATCGTCTGAGAGATCTCCCTTGGCAGATCGCACAAATGTATCATTGTATCAATTCATCCAACCAACCAACCATTCCAATACAATTAGTAAGACATCAAAATCGCATGTAAATGTTTTCATCACTATTAACGATTGAATCTTGGTTATTGCTTGATCAGGTCATGGCATCATATCAAGTTTCCTCTCTCAGTAAGCCACACAAATTATCAATTAAATCTACAATTTATAAATGTGACAAAGACATTTTAGAAAATGTTTGCAATTTATTTTTCTCTTTTTATTGTGAAATTTTATTTGCATGATTTTTCTTAGTGTCTTTATTACTATACGTTATTTTCCGTGCCATATCGTAAACATAATGTACAGTACTTGTTCTGTTACTGCATGTAAAGCAACTCTTAAATAACATAGTTAATAATTCTTTCATAAACAGAACGACTAATTTTAGTATTATACATTTTAACATGGTATATTATTGATTGATTGGTGGTATTGAACTGGAATTAATTATATAGGTTTTCCCATTTAAAATCAGGTTAAATAGATTCCCAGTTAATGTTTCTCGCAGAATGTGTGATTTTCAGAAATGAGTTATTTTAACCAAGGAATGCCTGTATAACATTATGAAAATTGACTTACTTTCCTATCGATTTAACATATTCAGACTCTTCATTTTGCTGAGCATTTATTTCTACACCCATTGCAGTTTCTATAATTTCAACATAACTCATCATTACAAACAATAAAAGCTCATTAAAACAATGGTAAAAACAATTTACCTCCAATAATGTCTAAGGTACATAACTTCATCAAAGGAAAAATATTCACAATTGAACTTTGAAAATGCTTCAGTTTATCAATTAAAAGAAAGGAATGTTTATTAAATACCGGGCAGAAATCTTCAAGTATTTTAAAGTGAAATGCTTGGGTTAACAGTTTTCTCCTGTTTTTCCATTTCTGTCCAGAGCTAGTTCAAAGATTTAATGACATTTGCATCTAATATCTTAGAAATACAGACAATCACTATTTCTCATACCTGATAATTAATCCGTTTCCTAACCAAGGTCGAAATATGTCACTAATTACATTGGCTTTCTCCAACAAAACATTGTTGTTTATGATCGTCTTTAATTAATAAACAGAATTCTATGTAAGGTACATGTAGAAATTTATAAAACAAAATCTCTACCTACCTCTACATGTTCTGGTTTAAATAGACGAACAATTGTTAATCCTCCTGTATTGTAAGCAAACAATCTCTCTCTATCGTACATACGACAATGAGCGTATACTAATTGAAACAGCCCTAGATAATTAAAATTTTCTCTTATCAACACATTCAAAATATTTCTCAATAAAAGGATTACTTACAGTGTCGAAAATTAAAATCCTTATTTTTCAACAAACACAAAATAAACATTTTCCATAATGGTGGAAGTCTAAGTATTGGTAAGTTGCATTGTTTTAATTGAGATGTCTCTCTCCAGGATTTAAATATCATAAAGAAAACTGAAGTTATAATTATTATAAATACTGCTGTAAACATCTTTGAGTGAAGACTAATACAAGACTGATCTTTACACTAGAATATAAATATTTGTCATTCAAAGTTAGATAATGCGATTGATAATACACAGACAAGTTATTTATCAGTTCATAAGTCAAAGTTTCTCTCTTATCATTCAACATTTTAAAATTATAATGTACTTTTTAAATGAAAAACATTATATTCTAAGTTAAAATAATTTTTAGACACAATTTTTGAATATTTTTCAAAAGAGTCATGTGTTAATATAATAAGTTATTCATAGACAACAGTTTATATTATATGTATAACCTTTAAACATTTTATCTCTTACACTGAAGATAAGGAAGTAGACTTACAATAATCAGAATTTAGTTTACTACTCTTAATTAATGTACTATATTTATATTCTATAATGTTGTGGTTAATCCGAGAACGGACTCTAATTCCCATGAGACAGGAATGTTCTACTGTGCAATAGACTAGTCTTAAACCAGTCCTAATTGCATGTATATTAAATTTTTCATAGTTTAAACAAAACTTTAATTTATATATGAATAATTGTTAACTATATCTACAACGACGAAGGCCAGAATCAGGAAATAGCTAAATATGTAATAAATAAAATTTATTTATATACTCAGTATATAATAAATTCAAGTTCAAGTTGTAAAATAATTCAGTAAAAATGATAATCCTAACGTGATCCACTTCCTTTAACTATACAAAATTAATGTTACTGTTTAAAACAGCGATTTTCATATACAGTGCAAGTCCTTATTCCTTATAATGTTTGCAAAAAAATCAATTTTCAGTGAAAACACTCAATATATTTGGTGCTTCTGTATGGCATATGATAAATAAGCAGATCAATGGTTTTCTAATTATGTACCATTAAAAAATGTCATCAGTTTTTAATTCAGCAAAAATGTAGCATTAATAGCATCATAAGCAGCAGTCACAGCATGTTGCTGCACGATACTTCACAATCATTTTTTGCTGAAGGAAGATAGATACTGTTACTTCTTTGCAAATTCCTGTTTTAGAAATCAGTCTTATTTTTAAAAATTAGAACGAAATAATTAAAGAAAGCATAGAAATTTAATCATCAGTATCTGCGATTTCAAATGAACCTGATAATTTTCAGTGACAAAAATAAACAGTTATGTTGAAGAAATAGTAATTCGTATTCTAAGGGTGTTTTTACGTCTCATCTCACCCACAAATTTATTTTTTTCTTGGAAATCATTAAATTAATAAACTCAAACTGAGAAATAGAAGAAAAGAAAGGTCTACCTCCTATTTCACCAACAAAACAGATATTACTAAGTACTGTGTATTTGGCTTCGTGCTAATCAAGAGTGATTCAGAGGTATTGGAGATAGGTTTGGTGTAAAGAAAAATCATGACTATGCAGTTTTTATAGACTTCTGTAAAAAATGTGTGGCGTAATTGACAATTATATTCAATGATCAACTTATAACTTGAAGAAAATAGTTCATAAATTTGAATAATTATGCACTGTTTCATTGCCTACAATAATTGGGTGTGTGGATGGAACTCACATGTACTGTACATGAAAACACCAAAGGAAATTAGTTAAGAGTTATTACAACAGAGAAAGAGCATTCTACCCTGTTGCAAATAATGTGTGGTAGTGAAATGCAAATTATTGATGCATTTGTTAATTAACTTGGTAGAGCTAATGATTCTTGTATTTGGTACCAAAGATCTATTTACAACATGTTTTTGAATGAATCTTCAACATATTAAAATTCACTATTATTTAAATTCAACATATCCATTGGATACATTTTTAATTGTGCCATATAAAGTTTATTGCAATCTCAGTGTTAAACATAACGCTTTAAACAGGAACACAGTTCTATCAGAGTTGTGATGGATCAAGCAATAGATTTATTAAAAAACTGCTTCCATCGATTAAAATACTTGATTATCAAAAATACTTGTTCAACATTTAAAAGTTGTAATGACTTCATGCATATTGAAAAATTTGTGCATTAATCAGAGATACAAATCACACATTCATCAATGATTACAATAATGAACTCTCTCTCATTAAACAAAATTTTCAAAATTTGAAAAAAGGTAACTAAATCAAGTTACTAGCACAGCATGCTGAGTTTTGACTGACATATAGCATCTAGCTTTAGCCACAAGAGCAAAGTGCTCGTCAATTAAACGAGCCCAGAATCTCAAATTAGCAGTGCTTCAAACTATCATTTATTTTAAATTGTGTAAACTGAAATCAATTAAGTTCATCATTAAAATAAAGGAAAAAGTTACTGAAAGATTAAAGAACAGTTTTCATACTACAAGAATAAGTGGTATCAATAATAAATACATGAAAATACTTTCACCCTCTGAGAGTACAGTGCAGAGTTATTGGTCGCATTAGATAAATAATGCGACCAATTTTTTCATAACACGACGATACACCATAGCTAGTTCTAACCTGCGGCACTAGGTGGCAAGGGATGTTAGCTTCAAAATTCATCCGGTCTCATTTATCTCTAAGTTGCTGGTAATGTAAAGTTTATTCCTGTGAATCCCGTTTTCAGTTTAATCTAACACAGCACAATGGATCATTTTATGAAGCAACATTATGCTATCAAATTTTGCATTAAACTTGGAAACTCCACCACCAAAACCTTTACATAAATTCAGACGGCCTTTAGGAGTGATTTCTTGTCCAAATCAAAGTTTTCCTGATGGCACAAGTCGTTCAAAAATGGCCTAGGTTAGGTTAGGTTAGTTAGGGTTTATTGGCGCAAGGGCCACATAGGCCAAGCTGCGCCATGTCAAACGGTAATACTATAAAATCTAATGAATAAATGTATATATATATGTGTAAAATATTAAATATAAATAAATAAATAAAATAATAAATAATAAAACCAATAACAAAAAGATATAACAGTACACATGTACATACTAACAAGTTTATATATATAAACAAATAAATAAATTTCTTTATAATAATTAGTGACTTTCAAAAAGTTCAATAATTTATCAAGATTTGGACTCTGGCCCAGAATCTGTTTAAAACTTGCATTTCCAAAATGCTGTCTACGAATCCTCTCAGAGGCAATGCAATTGCATAGTGTGTGTTTAACAATTACAGTAGACCCCCCTATAATGCTTAAATACGTTCCGTTATTCGAATTTTATGTTGTAGGAATCATTAAATACATGAGTCAATCACAGCCCAACACGTGTGAAGTTTACGGACTAAGGCTGTTTGAAAGGTTTTCTTCTATAAAATTAACAGATTCTAGACTAATTCCACTCAACATTTCCAAAACATGTATAATTTTTTGGAAATAATCCATATAAACTATGCTATAAACAAAAAATTGTAGGATTACTTACCGAGTGTGCACCTTTCGACTACACCGTTGCTCAAGCTTGTTTTCATCATGGAACAGCGCACGAAAAGCCGGCCGCTATTTCTAATAATGAATTTTTTGCAGAAAAATAACTTGACCTTTGGAGACATCATTAATATAAATAATTTTTATGGCCGTTGAATAAGAAATGTTTCTTTCACAAGAAATGTGTAAAATTAGAGCTGTATTAGAATAACGGTACCTAATTTACATACTGTACAGACAATAATAAACTCAACTTACTAGCCTAAACTCTCCGTAGCGTGGCGCTGGGTGGCGGAAAGTAGTTCGGCTGCTCATTCACTATTGGTCCAGATTCGACCAATCTTGTCGCGACAGGAGTCGGCAATGACGTTTTACGAGTCACTTTATACGAATACTGCTACAATTTTTTCGCTACGTTATAGGAATTTCTGTTATAGGAACCCACGTTATAGGGGGGGGTCGACTGCACAGTACAGTTGCAATGTTGGCATAATGGCTGGTCTTCACCCTTCAAAAGGTATTGAGTCAATCGAGTATACCCAATTCTTAAGCGAATAAGAATTACTTCAGATCTCCTCTCATACTGTTTATTACGTGTCAAATTTTCTATCATTGGTTTGATCTCATGTAGTTTATTGTGAATTTGTGCATTCCACATATTTTGTCATCTCTCTGCTAGTCGTTTTTTTAACTACTAGCTTCAAATCACTTCCTTCAATAGGCATTGCATGCTGTGAAAAACTAGCTGCCTTTGCAGCTGTGTCAGCTTCTTCATTCCCTCTTATACCAATGTGGCCTGGGACCCAACAAAATTTTATAGAGAGATTCCTCGTAAGATGACATATCAATTATGAATTTCAATCACTACAGAGTGAGAACTAGGTTCATACGAGATCAAAGCCTGAAATGCACTAACTGAGTCAGTGTAAATCACGCAGCAAACAATGACCTTTCCTATTTATATACTTCAGGGCTAAATAAATAGCCTGCAACTCTGCAGAAAAAACAAAAGAGTTTGGTGCTATTTGTTCTGCCACAATTTCATTTTGGCAAACAAAGGCTAAGCCAACATAGTTATCCAATTTCGATCAATCAGTGTATGTAAGAATTAAATTCCTATCACAATGTTAAATTTCTGCAAAGTGCTGTCTGTAGACGTAGTCTGGCGTGGTTTCCTTGAGAAACTGCTATAAGCTTAAGTCAACATCTAATACTCAGGTTGACCAAGGTGAAATACTATTAAACTCAACTTATGAGATGTTGCTTGTGTCCAGGTCAATCGTGCTGCTTACATTCTCCATTTTTATGTCGAATGTAGGGACACTACTTGTCCGAGCTGCAAATAATCTTTTCAACTGAAAGTCTATTCAGAGATTTCTGTTCGATGTAGTAAAAACGAGACAACTGTTCTATCCTGAAGGATAGTGTAATCTCATAAGCATCCACATACAAACTAAGGACAGGAGAAGTTCGAAATGCACCGGTGCACAAACGCAAAGCTTGATGGTAGATTAGATCCAGCATCCAAAGAGTAGACTCTCGCGCAGAGCCATAAACAATGCATTCGTAATCCAGCTTTGAGCGGACAAGGGCCCTATAAATCTTGAGCATAGAACATTTGTCTGCTCCCCAGGATGAGCAGCATAATACCTTTAAAAAATTCAAAGATTTTAAACATCTACTTTTCAGGTTGCGCAAGTGTGGCAAGAATGTCAGTTTTTGGTCAAAAGAAACACCCAAAAAACTGCATCATTCACCATTGGGATTTTATCCCCATTCAGGAAAATTTCTGGATCCAGGTGCAAACCACGCCTTCAACAAAAGTGGATGCATAAGGTCTTCTCTGCGTTAAGTGTAACGCTTGGACCAATCGTATATGAGATTTAGGGAGGTTTGTAGGAAAAAAAAGTGACGAGGTGCCATAATAAGACAGTGCAATAACAGAATTATTATATACATTTGGGAGGCCCTCCTTACCAACATACTAAATCCTTGCAACACCCCCACACTTGATTTGCCCCCTTTGTGAATCAGTTTGTATAATTCTCTAAACCAACATATCTAGCTCCGCAATTTGGAAATGCACAGCACATGCGCATTACAACCGCACGTGTTTTTGTTTGAAAACTACTTTATGTTCTACTGTTGCTTCCATTCCAAAACAGTAATAAACTTGGAACGATCAGTTATTTGTAATCAAAAAAAGGAATTTAACCGTTTTAACAGCCTGAAGAAGACGAAAATAATTAGCGTAGAAAGCGCTTGTCGGTCTGACGACAGTCATTGGTAATTAATGCCTGTATGATAAAAAGCTTTTTCTATTAAATAGTCGGCATGCTGTCCAATTTTGTATTATTGGGAGGTTTGTAGTTGTCTCTGGATAAAACTCATGTTACTAGACTGGCAGGAGATCTGAAACTCATCCACATATTTTCACACTAGCAGGAAGACAGCTATGCTATTAATTTTAATTAGGAACAGTGTCACACTCAAAATAGAGCCTTGAGAAACACCTACTTCTTGTGAGAAGAGCCTAGATAGTGTATTGCCCATCCTGACTTGAAATCTCCGATTCTGTAATAAGTTTTTCATAAAAATTGGCAGATTACCCCATAACCCGAATTCGTACAGATCACGGAGTATCCCATATCACCAACAGCGATCATAGGCCTTCTTTATATCAAAAAACACATACACTAAGCGCGGTCGTCTAACAAACGCTTCGCAAATAGATGTTTCAAAATTTACTAAGTTGTTCATGGTACTTCTGTTCCTACGAAATCCACTCTGATGTGGTGAGAAATAGTTCTTTTCCTCTAGGAAAAACATCAGGCGTCTGTTTACCATTCTCTCAAAGAGTTTACACATGCAACTTGTCAGAGAGATTGGTCTGTAATTAGAGGGATTCTTGTGGTCTTTACCTGGCTTGGAAATGGGAATAATGATCGATAGCCTCCAAGAGTCAGGAAAAGTATGTTCTGTCCATATTCTGTTAAACAGGCATAGGAGATTACAAGGAATTGTTTGACAGGGAATTGTTTGACAGATTTTTAATCATGCTGTAGTGGATTTTATCTGGACCTATAGCACTATTCCCAGAGCAAGAGATCGCTGAATTTAATTCAATTCTAGTGAATGGCACATTACATTCCTCATTAGATGAAGAATGAAAATTTAAATATTGTTTTTCACTTTTGGCTTTATAAACCGGAAAATTCCTTGGATACATAATATTGTTGGATGAAGACGAAAACGTTTCACCCAACAAATCACCGATACCATGCATATAGCTCACTATTGTGCCATTATTTTCTAGCATGGACAGAGAGTGAGAAGCATATTTCCCATTAATTTTGTGATTTTATCCCAGACTGTTTTAGAGCTGGTGGAAGATGTTATGCTAGAAACATACTTCCTCCAAGAATCCCTTTGGCTTTGCCTTCTTAATCTTCTGGCATTTACCATTGCTTTTTGAAAAGCTATCAAATTTGTAGCAATGGGGTATCTTCTAAAAATCCCCCATGCTTTCTTTTGTGCTTTAAATGCTACCTCGCAATTCTGGTTTCACCATGTTTTCAGATGCTTTGGGTATCTGGTTGATGTTTATCCCATTGTTCTTTCAGCTGCCTGAATAATACTGAAAGTGACAATTTCAACTGAATCATTGATATCAGCAATATTCACCATTTCCTCAGTGATGTCAGCCAAAGAAAAAAATGCAAGGCAATCGGCCATTTCACGTTTCCAGAATGATGAACAGGCTGTTTCACAGCTTTCTCTGCCTTGATATTTTAAAAATATTGGGAAGTGGTCACTAGTGAGTGGTGTAAAGTAGTGACCTTTTAGCGGAGTGGGGACAAAAGAGGCGCGACCTTGTCAATTGGACCCACGTGCGGTCGGGTAATACCACTTGTAAAGTATTGACTTGTAAACAAGGGTAAACAAAGGAAGCACCGGCTTTGTTAATTGGACCCACCTGCAGTCAGACGGTAATGGTAAGCAAACGAACGTAAACAAGTGGCGGACGTTTGTGTAAGCTTCACTCTCATTGGATGATGGCGGACCCGAGTGTAAGCTGTTCGGGCATAAAAAAGGGTTGTGATTGGTCGGAAGTTCCCGTTCCAAAATCCCTTAAATTGCGGGGCGAATGAGAGTCAAAGAAAGAAGGGCAAGAGACTGATACACTCTCAGGCACTTGGGAAGCCCGCTGAGCGTAAAGAAAGTGTGTTCTCCTCTGTTGATCTTCTCAGAGACGGGTTAGTGCTGAGACCGGACCGACCGTGCAGTTGAGCCGACTCCACAAGCTGACTGAGGTCTCTCCAAAGATTATTAGTTCCCAGACGCCAACCTGGCACGTGAATTCACCACGCATGGTCATCTTGTACATATACTATGTTTTCTAACTTGTACTTTCTACTACTGTAAATAAACTGTAAATATATTCAATTTGAGTGTGGAGGTATGCTTTCCAACGAACCTGATTCATTACATCGAGTCGTGAAACACAAGAAAACAACTCAACGAAACAAAGTTGGGAAGGAACAGCAATAAGATCTTCACTAGTGGATTACATCCAACTTCCCATGAAAATGCTGAAAACAGGTTTGAACTTGCTAATGATAGATCAACAGCAATGAATGCTCTTGTTGGGGCATGGAAGTATGTCACTTCTCTACTATTAAATAAATATAGTTGGCGATTGCCTATGGATGTTTCGATGGCTCTGCATCGGCGGTTGATGTCTGGACTGCCCCACATTGGGGTAAATTAAAGTATATGATGTCCTGTACAATACCAGGCAAGTGGCAAATGTATATGAAAATATCTGGCCATTAAAATCACCCAGTAAAAGCAATAG